GCCACAACGCCCAGCTATTTTTTGGTTGCAGCCATCATTGTTGTTTGGCGGGCCCGGGCTGGATTTGAACCCGCCACCTTAGGTATATGTGGCTGGTGCCTTAGCCACTTGAGCCACAGGTGCCAAGCCCTTATTTGAATTTTTAATAATAATTTGTTCAGTTCTAATTAAAACTGTTTTTTGGTTGATGCACTTAAATGGCAAATAATTCTAACTTTTGTACATGAGAAAAAATACAGAATAGACTGTAACACACAACCATATTCCTTCACCACGTGTACACCAGTCCCTCTGTGTAAGAAAGTGAACTACACAGCGGTGCCTGTGGCGCAAAGGAGTAGGGTGCCAGCCCATATGCTGAAGGTGGCAGGTTCAAACCCAGCCCCAGCCAAAAAGCTGAAGAAAAACAAAAAGAAAGTTAACTACATATTAGGGGATGGAGAATTGAGGACAGGCAAAGGAAGTATGTTGGAAACTGCAAAAAGGTAAGGGAAAAAAGATGTACGTCTATATTCTTTTAACCCAAGCAATTTCTAACTCCTCCCACTCCATTTCCCCACCAAGAAATTTCCTTTGGCCTTGGTTAATCAGAGTTGATTTCTTTGCTAACAACGAAAAGAAGCAGTACCCTCTCATCTCTAACTCTTTTACTTCCAATCCATCCTACAACCGGCTGCCACAGTAAACTTCCTAAAACACAGCCCCTTTCAAAAATATGTGTAAACTCTTAGCCTATCGTCCAAAGCCCTTCATGTGTCCGTCCTAATTCAGAAGAAGACAAAGACACATAGACTCTGATTCAAGTCCTAGATTCAAGTCCTGCTGGTTGTGAACTGTCTGACTCTGAATATGTTAAGAAATGTCTTTTAGTCTCAATTCCTTTATGTAAAATGGAAATAGAAAGAATGCCTTCTAGATTGTTGTTGTTCAAAACTAACCTCTCCATGCACAACACACCAACCGAGACCTTACTACCTCCCAGAAGCCCCTTTACTTTTTAGGTGTGTGCCTTAATCACACTAGTCTTTCTACTGTGGGTAGTCATCATATTAGAATTAATAATTAATCAATGAGGGAGCATTTCTAACCCGCATTTGATTTCAAAATTCATGTTCTATGCTAACAAATTAAATTTAAAAATTAGTACAATTGTAGGGTATTAATTATACTCTACACATAATCCATTAGGAGAAAGGAGTCATAACTATTACCATCTTTAAGCTGCCATTCCTCTCAACACACAAATATACCCAAGGAAATATAGTGCCACAGATGAAAGGAATTTTTTTCCAGGCTTGCAAATCAAAACTACGATAAACCTATCTAAGGACTTTTTTTTTTTTGAGACAGAGTCTCAAGGTGTCACCCTGCGTAGAGTGCTGTGGCATCACAGCTCTTGGGCTTAAGTGATTCCCTGTGTCAGCCTCCCAAGAAGCTGGGACTACAGGCATCCACCACAACACCTGGCTATTTTTTTGTTGCAGTTGTCACTGTTGTTTTAGCTGACCCCAGCCAGGTTCAAACCCACCATCCTGGTATATGTGGCTGGAACCCTACCCACTGAGCTACGGGCACCACTAGGACTCTGGTTTCTATCTTAACCATCATTTGATATCTTATAATTTTATCTTAAGTGTTCAGATATCCTCAGCTAGTTTCTAAGTTCTCTGGGTAAAGATGCCATCTAATTTATCTTGCCATTTAATTTTATCTTAAATGTTCAGATATCCTCAGATAGTTTCTAAGTTCTCTGGGGAAAGATGCCATCTAGACACAGTCTTTAAGCCAAATGGGTATACTATATGAGTACAACTTCAAAGATCCAGTTGGATATAAGGCAATATAACACAAATAATTTTTCTTACCCCCTAAATTAACTTACAGAAGCTTATTTGGTAGGATAGGAAACCTAAAATTAGCACTTAGAATAATCACCATGGAAGTCAAAAATAAGATAACAGTAAACAAAAAAACTTCCTTCAGACACATTAATATAAGCATTCTCCTAGCTATTGAGTTTTAGACTTTAAAATAAAGATGAGCATTAAGTACTGTCACTTAGGACATTTAAAACTGAAAGAGGGGTGGCACCCATAGCTCAGAGGGTAGGGCACCGGCCACATACACTGAGACTGGCAGGTGAGAACCCGGCCTGGGGCCTGCTAAAACAACAACAACTGCAACAAAAAAGGAGCCAGGCATTGTGGCGGGCACCTGTAGTCCAGCTACTTGGGAGGCTGAGGCAAGAGAATTGCTTGAGCCTAAGAGTTTGAGGTTGCTGTGAGCTGTGATGTCACAGCACTCTACCCAGGGTGACAGCTTGAGACTCTGTCTCAAAAATAAATACAAATACAATAAAACTCAGAGAGGAATACCCAGGTGCATTCCTGGGAAACATCCTGCCTCAGACCCAACAACAGTGTCCCATTATTCCCTCAGATAGTTACAACTCTATAACCCACAGAAATATCTCTAAAAGAATAATAATACAAATCCCACCTTGCCTCGTATCACCTTGAAGAGAATCTGTTCAAGGCAAAAGTGAAAATTCTTACTGACATACCTTGAATAGTATCCTCTTTAAGAACTTCAGTTTCATCATCGTCATTTAAGCAATAAACTGTTTCTTTTTGTATATCTTCTTTTTTTAAGGTTCTTGCATCCACAACTGTCCAAGTCTTTTTAACATTCTCATGCAGCATCTTATATTCCAAAGAATAAATAAAGGAAAAACATGAAAAGCTAGGATTCCCATTAATAAAATCCACAAATAAATATTAATACAGTAGAACTCCCATAGTTGGCCATGACCCTACATTGACCACCCTCTTAAGTTGACCTAATTTTCACAGACCAGACATGCACCACATGCACACAATGGAAGTTCCTCCATTATGTCTGACCAGTTTGTTACAGTCCATTGGATGGTCAACTTACAGAGATTCTATTGTATTTGTATATACAACTCCCCCTCCCCTCCCCTCCCCTGCCTTGCCTGGAACTTATGATTAACAATCACGGTTATCAATGGAGAGAAAGAAATCAAACCCAACTACAGACAATTCTTTCAACTTCCTATCCTAGCATGCCTTTTACATAAAAAGCTAAACAGGGATTAAATAAACAAGGAAAGCAGCTAGAGACGCAGTAATTATGGTTCTGAATAACCCACACATGAATTGTCAGTTCCTTATGTAAGTATATTTTACTGCCTGGTAACATTACTTTTTAAAATGTGCACCTAACACTTACCGATTTATAGGCCACTATCCTTATAGACAAATTGGAACCAATGGTCAGTAGACAAGACCAGGGCATGGAGGACCTCGAAATTTTCTTGAAGACACAGAGTTGTCTCAGACTGTCACTTAATAAAGAAAAGTATAAAATGAAAACAACAATTTTAAATGCTAATTTGTCCTGGATGATGCATTTAGTTTTCTAGAATGAGAAGTGAGCTGTTGTTCCTTATAAAGAGAGGAATAGCAGGGGATGGCAGGACAATGACAACTACAGGTTGGGAGAGAGCCAGAAGTAAGTTGGCTTAGAAGGAAGCAGGAGCTGAACACATTCCTGCAGGTGAAAACGAACACTTCTCTCTTTCCTTATTTAATCTTTTCTTTCAACTCTGCCAGTATTCCTACCATTTTTTTAGGACCAACGGCACCTTTGAGGATCTGATAAAAGCACATTCACAAACAAGTCTGCACACAACACAAAGGGTTCATCAACTCCTGGAAAACCATGGACCTGGCTCAGCGCCTATGGCTTAAGTGGCTAAAGCGCCAGCCACATACACCTAAGATGGTGGGTTTGAATCCAGCCCAGGCCCGCCAAACAACAATGATGGCTGCAACCAAAAATAACTGGGCATTGCGGCAGGCGCCTGTGGTCCCAGCTACTTGGGAGGCTAAGGCAGGAGACTCGCTTAAGCCCAGGAGGTGGAGGTTGCTGTGAGCTGTGATGCCACAGCACTCTACCCAGGGGGACAGCTTGAGGTTCTGCTCAAAAAAAGAAAAAAGAAAACCATGGACCTAAGAATAAACCTCCCCACTCTAGGATATCAAAGGGTGGGCACCATTCTACAATTCAGTGCTCACAAATCTTCGATTCATTAGTTAATTCCAAGTCTCTTAAATAAAAGATGTGATATATTTTTAAATACATACAATAGAGATAAATATAGGCTATCCAGGGAATAAAGGAATTTACTAGACCATATTTAGTCTTAGGATAAGGCAGATAACTCCAGGTTTCTTAGTAGCATGGAAAGCTGGGAGTGGGTAGAAGGGGATGAGTACAACATGACTTT